TGGGTTGGTCATTTCACACAATTCATGTCTGTAACTTGTTAACTATTTTTTTTTTCTTCTTAAGACTTCCACTGCTAGTGTTTGTGCAAGATCCTCTGCTGAAGAGCCTTATAACAAAACCTTCAAAATTGTTAGATTTGGCTTTGAGGTTTAGAAACTGAGTAGTAAACAACTGTATTTTCCATTGTGTCATCACAGGTAGAGGGCAGGTTGTGCTATTTCAGTATTAATACACTAGAAGGAAGTACTTGGAACTAACATATTTGATAATATAAGTGGTCATGCTTGACTATACTACAAATGTCTTTTTTTTTTTTTTTGATAGATTTTAATCAGTACTCCTGATTTTATTGCTCTTGGTTCACAAATAATGAACAATATGTGCTTTGGTGCTTTAGACAAGATTATCTAGTCTTAGTCTAAGGTCAGTGTATTTGAAAGTGTTGGTGTTGTCTTTGCTGCCACCTGACTTGTGACATGTGCAAGGCAATGAAAACTCTATTATGTGACTGGCCTAGCAGAAGTCAGTGGGATTTAGACACCTAAATATCTGAACTATGTTCATCCTTCTGCATAATCTGCCAAATCCAAGAATTCCTTCATAACTGGCAGGTTGGTTGTAAATGCTTGCTCTGAGGCACTGCATTAAGCATAAAATTCAGCATATGCTGAAATAATGACATGTAGATGTAACTGTCTGTTTAGGAAGGTACACTGTGGATTTTGTAGACTTCAAAAGCCATATGAGAGAAGATAATAAATTTGTAATTTTCTTTCTTGGAAGATGAGAATTCTGATAAAGCAGCCTTTTAATTTAGAGTTTAAGGCCATTGCAAATTCATAATTAAAAAAACCAAACAAACAACAAAAACAACCAAACAGAAAAACCTGAAAGCTTTGCAACTCTTCTTATGAGTTTTAGTAGAAATGAAGCAACACATCTTGCTGTTGTCAGTGATGCAGTCTGCTTCCTTGGCAGAAGGTTCTCAGGTCTGTCCTTCAACTACATTACATCTCTTCTAAATCACATTTGTGCTTATGTCTCAAATTTCACCCTTTGATTCAAAGAGCGTGGTTTTTATTATATTTGCTTTTGAAAATAAGAATTTCAGACATGTAAGCTCTACCTTACATTTAAGAGGGGATGGTTATATACTAGCTTCTGTGTACTGCCATACTGATGCATATACATTTATTTCTGTTTACAGGTGCAGACAAAACTTCTTGAGCTTAAAGAATTGGAAAATAATCAGTTTAACTGGCACTCCCAGCCACATAATACACTTGTTAATGGAACTGCTGATCATTCTAGTCTGAGCAACAGCAGCAGTGAAACTGCCAACCTTAATGAGAATGCTGAAAGAGAAAGCATAGCAGAGGATGAACAAATAAACAGTGCATCTCCAGTGAGTAGTGTTTTGCCTGCTTGATCATGATGCAGTGCAGCTGTGAAGCTGCAGTAAGTGAGGAATGTATCAAGATTGATTATGTTTTTAAACATTTGCACGAGTGAAATTTCGAGGTGTTATTCTGAGGGACTGTTTCAGCAATCTGATAAGCAGTAAGGGAGGCAATTTTAGCTTGGCTGGAAAGTAGCAATAAAAATTTTGCTGTATTTGTTTCCCAAGCAAAAATATCCTATATTGAATAGGAGAATTAACATTAAAGGAAAGCAGCTGTCTTCAGTTTCTGCAACAAGAATGGAATAAGGACTAGTATAGAAAATCTGAAGCTATCTTGTTTTAAATGTCCCTCCTTATGTCCCAGTAGGTTCTTGATTGATTTTTAATTTTTTTTTTTAATCTTTCACAGGGTTTATGGAACACTTCAGTATGTTCTATAAGTGTGAAACTCTTGAAGTACCCTTTAGTATATTCTTTTAGCTATTTAATACTTTAAATTATATTATGTAGTCTTCTATTTACTTATTCATGGTGAATTGCGTTTATCCTTATGTAGATAAGGAATAGTCCTGAAACAACAGCCTCTGTGGAAGAAGAGAAGGAGACCCCAGCTGCCACTACTGCCAAAAAGGTGAGTTTGTTGAGATTTAAGGGAGGAAAAAGTAAATTAAAAAATCCCAGTGAAACTGTTTCAGGCTTTCATCATGTCACTTGCATCATGGTGATAGAACAACAGACAAATAAAATTGTCACTTCTTACTATTCTTATTTAGTGTGATGTCACGAAAACATTTCATGTCATATAGCAGGCAGGTTGTTGTGAAATATTTTGGATCTCCATTGATGAATCATGTAGAATTCTAGCTGTCTCTCTTTTCCCAGCTTAAAGAAACTACTAAATAGTAACACAAGATGACAGAAGTGTTTTCTGTCCTTCATGTCTTAAAAATTTAATGCCTTTTTCTACTTTTTTGCATTCCTCAGGAAGATCCATTTGATGCTGAATCTCATCCGTTGCCTGATCTAGTTTCTGAAGCCAGCTTAGAGTTCTTCCAGTCTGACCCTTTTGTTGGCAGTAAGTAAACTTTAGTCTCTAAGTGCAGATTTGCAGAAACAGGTCTTGTATGAACACATCTAAGACAAATCTTCACCTTGGCATGTCTCTTCATAGAATAAATGTGGAGGTGTTTGAGTGACAGGAGTGTGGAGCCAGTAGCATTACAAAAATAGAAATGATAGAAATGAGAGTTCCAGGATGTTTCTCCTTCCTTCACCTGGACTTTATAATTAGCTGTGAAAATTGCAGCTTTCCCTCACTGCTCTTCCTGAGTACTTCTCTCACCTCCCTCCACCCCAACCCCGGTTGCATTTTGGTTTGAGAGGTGTTGGGCATACTTGTGATATACATGGTATTGCTAATCTAATTTGTGGCACAGATCCACAGACAGATCAACTTGAGGGTTCAGTGAGCTGTGGTGTAGGGAGGGTGTGGGTGGTTGAGAATGAATGGCTGTGGCCTACTTATGGTGAGTTTGGCACTCAGGAAAAGGTAATGTGGAACTGCACCATCTGTTTGTCTTGTGGAAGTGCTATGCTTTATTTTAAGAACTTGTCAGTTACGAATGCTGTTGCTCTGATTTTATTTCTTTTATGTTGGAAGAAGTGGTCTGTCTATATGGAGCCACTTGGAGAAGGGGAGTTAATTTGGATAAACTGCTGAAGCAGATGTTTTCAGACACATTAATATGATTTTACATGCTTTCAGAATCAACATGGTCTGATCAATTTAGCTTGCATTGCTTCGAAAGGAAAATAAGCTAAATTTGTTTCAGAACACTTGGCTTCTGAAAGAATGTCAGTGCAGATTTAATACTTCTAAAGAATAGATTAAACTAATCTAAACCAGCTTTACTGTTTCTGTGTAGTTATTGCTTGATTTTTGTTAATATCGAAGTGGTCCTGTTTACAGCACATGACAAGGCCTTTTTTTCACAGGAGAAAAGTGTGTCTGTTAGTAGCCACCACTTTGGGCTTTGTATGCTCAGTATGTTTAGGAGTAGATACCTACAGCTAAGAGACAGTTCATCTACGTCCTTTAGATGTAGATGAGGGAGTACAACTGATGCAATTGTGACCATGCATCCAGTACAGAAACGAACACTTAGGTGCTCCCATCCATGGTTCCTGTGAGAATTAATCAAAACTGGGACTAAGCTTCTATCAGTAGTTAGCCTGGCTTACTGTGCTGGTAAATACTGTATAATGTGGCCATTTACAGACATTAGCCATTAGAAATGCACCTTTGAGATGGCTGCTTTTTTGTGTGTTTCATGCTGGTAATGAGCTACCTGGTTAATATTTGTGTTGTCTAATGCTAGCTCTTGACATTCCACTGAAAATAGTGAAATTATTCCTCTGAGAGTTGTTTAAATTCTAGCTGTAGAAATGAGTTTGTATCCAAAGACTTAAACTGAGTACCTACTTTGTGACAAGTAACACATCTTGTTTTTGTTTTTTTTTTAAACAAAACCAGGTGATCCTTTCAAAGATGACCCTTTTGGGAAAATTGGTAAGTAACTTCGTAAGTTCTAATGTGTTTGTTCTTCTAAATGATTCCTACTAGAAGAGTATGTGCGGAAATAAGTGTCGCTGCTTTCAGTTCAGAAAAGGTGGAAATGACCCAAAAAGTCACCACAGGATAGATATATGACAGTAAGAGCTGGCTGCTTGTGTTAAAGCTTTTCAGAGAAGCCCATTGCCAGTGAACTCTCTTGCTGCTGGAAGTCTCCTTAGTTGGGATTTAAGTATGTGAAGGTGGTGAACAGAAGGTCCCAAACACCTGCTGCCTGTTTTGTATAGAAATAAGTAGGACTGTATTCTTTTAAAGGCTCTTAACTTACCAACTTTCTTTAGAACTAAATACAGAAAAAGGTGGGAAGTATCTGTTTAGATGGGCTGTACAGGCAAATTTACTGCATTATTTGCTTGGTCCTGAATGGAGTTACTGGTGACAAAAAAGCAAAGTGGCCAGTAGGAAGGCTCTAGCAAAATAGTGTTGTGTGTCAAGTGCCAAATAATAAAACATCAGTTGTGTGGGGAATGAAGGAGAGGAGGGTAGGAGAGTTCTGAGAAACGTGAGGTTTTGTAAGATGCTTCATTTTTAGGGGGCTTGGTTAAAGAACCTGTATACTCAGATGATTCTGGAACTGAACTGCTGGCACCGTCCAAAGTTTTGGAAGACGTTGGCTTGTCTAATGTTTTGAATCACAGAATACAAATCATTCACAGATTAATTTCATACTTCAGAGATCCTTGGTCTTAAATGGGTCACCTTCTTGCAGTATGAAAAAAAGCAATATAATGTTTAGTTTTTAAGATACTCAGCTAAGTAAAGTTAGCAGAAATGTTAATGAGATGTTTGCTTTTTAGATCCCTTTGGTGGTGATCCTTTCAAAGGCTCAGATCCTTTTGCAGCTGACTGTTTTTTCAAACAGTCCTCCACTGATCCTTTTGTGACTGCTGGCACTGATCCGTTTAGCACTGCAGACAACAGTAATAATATCACAGTAAGTTTGGTAGCATACTTTTTACTTCCTTCTATATATGATTTGGACAAAATAACCTATTTTGTGCATTTGGACACATCTTGAAAAGCTGATATTCAGAAATATAGATAAAAGGTTACTTTTTACTTCATGGTTCTGTCATGGGTTTTTTGTGTCCTATTTTCTAAAAATAGTCACAGATGAAATAGGAGTAAAAAAAACATTCTAAAAATGTTTCAGTATAGAGCTTCATTGCTCCACAGATATTTGAGAATACTGAACTCAGCTCTGTCAGTAGCTGGTGGAACTTACTAAACATTGAAAGAAACCCAAGATTAATGTCACCATATTGAGACTCTTTGATTTTTTGCTTCTAAAATGTAGAGGATCAGTAAGTATGTTCTGTAGCTTATTTGAAGTTTGATGTGGTATGGAGTTTACCCTCTGAAAAGTCAAATTGTTCTATAGATTTATATTATTTGGGTTTTGTTGTGGTTTTTTGTTTTTTCTTTGTTTTTTATTTTCCAATAAGAGTCATTGAAGCCCTTTCATAAGATGGAGATTCTTACTTAATGTACCTCTTTCAAGTGTACTTGGGTGTAACTTTCAGCTGTTCACATTGTAACCAAGCAGTTATTGATTGGTCTTGAGCCTATAATAAGGTAGAGTTGGGCATGAAACCTTCTCTGATGGAGAATAAAACTTGATAAAGATGAGGTAATATTTAGGGCTGATAGACAACCACTTAATCTAAGCTGAAATTCTTTATGCAGTAAGTTTGTCTCCATACTTTTGCCATCTCCTTTCCTTCTCAGTGCTTCTTCTGTTCATGCTTCACTTCCAATTTTGTGAGTGTATAAAATCACAGAATCACAGAATGTCAGGGA